AAAAAAAAAAAAAAAACCAAAAACTCAGGTTTTTCAGGAATTTACTTAAAAGACAGTTTTGTTTGTTAATTGAAAAAATGGATATTTACTCTTAATTTGACAAGTTAGAAACGAGAGTGGTATCACCTGCCTTAGTTAGAAAATGATCCACTACCAAGTTGCTTCATGAGGCATCTTACAGTGAGTGAGAGAGGTTGCTTGCTCTAAGAGACAGGAAAGATCAGCGAAATTGACAAGAACTTATTGAAAACTAGTAGATCTTAGCAGAAAGAAAAATCATTCTGAAGAACAGTTTAAGGTAGAATTTGACCACTTCCATGGCTGAGAGTTCTTTATTCTGAAAATAAATAAGTGCCTCTGATTATGTGCCATCATTGTCAAAAAAGACATGGCGCACTGCCCTCCTGGAATCTACATTGGAGCACTAAGACCAATTTGTAAATTGATGATCATAGTACAAAGATATACACAAGAGCCATAGTATTATACTATAAATGAATTGCATGTAAGAATTTGGAATCAGAGACAGGTGCTAAATAGAGAATGTTTTAAGGGCCAAAAGGAATTCATGAAATGAAGAATTCAAGGAAGGGATGTATGCCCCATCAAGGGAACAACATGTTTAAGCAACCATGAAGGCCTGAGATAACATGACCCATTTAGGAAATTTCAAGAATTTGGATGGCCAAAGTGAAAGAATACTTGCTGGGGAAGTAATAGGAGATAAGGATAAAAAGGCAAAGGCCAGATCATGAAGACTTTTCTTAAGCCAAAAATAACTCTCTGACTGGCTGTGAGACTTTCCTTCCCCCTTATTTCGAGTTGATCGAACTAGGAGAGAGGCTTATATGTCTCCAAGAGGTCAATAGTTTTGCATTTCCCTGATGATTAGTGATGCTGAGCTCCTTTACATGTGCCTGTTGGCTGTTTGGAGGTCTTCAGAAACGTATCTGTTTATTTCCTCTGCCCATTTTTTAATCAGATTATTTACTTTTTTGCTATTGAGTTGTATGAATTATTTATATATTTTAGATATTAACCCTTTATCAGATACATGATTTGGACATTTTCTCCAATTCTGTAGGTTGCCTTTTCATTTCATTACTGGTTTCCTTTGCTGTGCAGAAGAAGCCTTTTAGTTGGATATAGTCCCACTTATTTATTTTTGCTTTTGTTACCTTTGTTCCTGGTGTCAATTAAAAAAAAAATCACTGCCAAGACTGATGTCAAAGAGCTTACCTTTTTATGTTTTCTTCTAGGACTTTTATGGTTTCAGGTCTTACATTCAAGTCTTTAATTCATTTTGAGTTGATTTTTGTGTGTGGTATAAGATAGTGGTCCAGTTTCACCCTTTTGCATGTGGCTGTCCAGTTTTCCCAGCACCATTTATTGAAGAGACTATCCTTTCCCCATTATAATTCTTGGCTCTTTGTCATAACTTAACTGACCATATATTTCTCAGCACTTTATTCTGTTCCATTGATCTATGTGTCTATTTTTATGTTGTTGTTGTTTGATTGGGGGGTTTTTTGTTTTGTTTTGTTTTGGTGTTTTTTTGCCAGTACCATACTGTTTTGATTACTATAGCTTCATAATATAGTTTGAAATGAGGAAGTGTGAATCCTCCAGCTTTATTCATCTGTCTCAACATAGCTTTGGCTATTTGTGTTATTTTATGGTTTTATATACATTTTAGGATTGTTTGTTCTATTTCTGTGAAAAATGCCATTGGAATTTTGGTAGAGATTTCATTGAATCTGTAGATTGCTTTGAGTAGTATGGGCATTTTATCAATATTAATTCTTCCAATCCACGATCACAGGATATCTTTCCATTTATTTGTGTCCTCTTTAATTTTTTTCATCGTTGTCTTATATTTTTCGGTGTGCAGGTCTTTCATCTCAATGGTTAAATTTATTCCTAAGAATTTTATTCTTTTTGATGCTATTGTATGTGGAATTTTCTTAATTTCCCTTTCTGCACAGTTCATTGTTAGTGTATAGAAATAGAGCATATTTTCTGTATATTAATTTTGTATCCTGCAATGTTACTGAATTTGTTATTGTAACAGTTTTGGTGGAGTCTTTAGGGTTTCTTTTATATAACATGTCATCCTCAAACAGGGACAGTTTTACTTCTTGCTTTCCTATTTGGATGCCTTTTCTCTTTTCTTTTTTTTTTTTGCTTGCCTAATTGCTCTGGCTGGGACTTCCAATTCTCTGCTGGATAAAATTGGTAGTGGACATCCAGTTGTTGGATAAGAGTGGACATCCTTGTCTTGTTCCTGATCTTAGAAAAAAAACTTTCAGCTTTTCACGTTGAGTATATTGTCAGCTGTGGGTTTGTCATATATGGCCTTTATTATGTTAATGCATGTTCCTTCCATACCCAGTTTGTTGAGAGTTTGTATTATAAGTAGATGTTCAAATTCGTAAAATTCTTTTTTCTGCATCTACTTAGATGATATGATTTTTATCTTTCATTTTGTTAATGTGGTGTATCACGTTGTTTGATTTGCACAAGTTGAACCATCCTTGCATTCCTGGAATAAATCCCACTTGATCATGGTGTATGATCCTTTTAATGTATTTTTTAATTCAGTTTGCTATATTTTGTTGAGGATTTTTGCATCTATGTTCATCAGAGATATTGGCCTGTAATTTTCTTTTCTTTTCTAATGTCCTTGACCAGTAATAATGGCCTCATAAAATGAGTTTGGAAGTGTTCACTCCTCTTCTATTTTTCAGGGAATCTGAGAAGGATTAGTATTAATTCTTCTTTAAATGTTTGATAGAATTCATCAGTGAAGCTCTCTGATCCTGCCTGGACTTTTTTTTTTAGGACCTTATTATTACTGATTCAATCTCCTTACTAGTAATTGGTCCAGTTTCCTATTTCTTCATAATTATGACTTGGTAGGGTCTATGTTTCTAGGTATTTATCTATTTCTTCCAGGTTGTCCAATTTGTTGGTATATAATTGTTCACAATAGTCTTTTATGATCCTTTGTATTCCTGGGGTATTAGTTGTGAGGTCTTTTCTTTCTTTTATAGTTTTATTTATTTGCATCCTCTCTCTTTTTTTCTTGGTTAAGCTAGCTAAAAGTTTGTCAGTTTTGTTTATCAAAGAACCAGCTATTAGTTTCATCCATCTTTTCTATTGTCTTTTTAGTCTTTATTTCATTTAGTTTCATTCCAATATTTGTTATTTCCTTCCTGCTGCTACTTTGGGCTTGGTTTGCTTTTTTTTTTTTTTCCTCCTTCCTTGAGGTATAAAGTTGCATTATTGAGCTTGTTCTTTTTCTTAATATAGGCATTTATTGCTATAAACTTCTCTCTTAGAACTGTTTTTGCTGCAAACCTTAAGTGTTGCTATGTTGCTTTTCCATTTTTATTTGTAGCATGGTCTTTATTGATTTCTCCTTTGACTCATTGCTTGTTTAGTAGCATATTGTTTAATATCCATATATTTGTGAATTTCCCAGTTTTCTTCTTGTAATTGATTTCTAGTTTCATACCATTCTGGTTGGAAAAGGTGCTTGATATGATTTCAGTCTTATTAAATTTATTAACACTTGTCTTGTGGCTTAATGTATGATCCATCCTGGAGAAGGTTTCATGTACACTTGAAAAGAATGTGTATTCTGGTGTTGTTGGATGGAATGTTCTGTAAATGTCTGTTAAGTAAGTTCATCTGATCTAACGTGTCACTTAAGTCCAATGTTTATTTATTGATTATCTGTCTGGATGATCTGTCTTCTGTTGCATTTGTGGTGTTGAAGCCCCCTACTATTTTTGTATTGCAGTCCATTTCTCCCTTAAGATCTGTTAATATTTGCTTTATATATTTAAGTTTTTCTATGTTGGAGGCATACATTTTTACAAATGTTATATTCTCTTAATGAAGTGATCCCTTTATCATTATATAATGACATCCTTTTTTCTCCTGTTACAATCTTGGGCTTAAAATCTATTTTGTCTAATATAAGTATAGCCCTGCTTTCTTTTGGCTTCCATTTGCATGGAATATCTTTTCCATCCCTTCACTTTCAGTCTACATGTGTTAAGCTGAAGTAAGTCTCTTGTAGGCAGCATCTAGTTGGGTCTTATTTTTTTTATTCATTCAACTACTCTGTATCTTTGGGTTGGGAATTTAGTATATTTACACTTAAAGTAATTATTGATAGATATGGACTTACTATTGCCATTTTGTTTATTGATTTCTGGTTGTTTTGTAATTCCTTTCTTGCTTACTTCTTTTGTGACTTGATGACTTTGAATTCTTACTAAAGAGTTTTCAGTTGTTTCTCTGCAAAGAATATCTTCCAATGTCATATGTAAATAATAATTTTAACATCTTTCCAAAATTGGTACCTCTAATATAATTATATACATATAATGCTGACTATTGATCTAAAGTGATCAATCTTTTTCTTGTTAAATGACCAATTCTCCCTTCCCTGATTCCTTTCTAAAGGTATTTTTCTGGCAAATTCAAGTATTAGAGAAAGGGGAACTTTAGAGTCACACCCTGAATTTGAGTCCTGCTCTGCTATATACTAGTTAAGTGACCTCAAACAGGAATAACTGATATAAAGTACCATCACAGAGTAGTCATTTCTTGATTCCATTTCTTTCTTTTTTCAAGTAGTTTGCTCAAGTATAATGCTAGCTTTGAGGAACTTTGTAAAAACATTTTAACATTATTCTTCCAGAGACAATTGGCTTTTAGTAATCAACTTTGGCTACTAATATTCATTTTCTAGTTGTCAGTTTTAATGTTTTTCCCCCCTCTCTTTTTCTCCTAGAGATAAGATTTCAGTTTCCACAGCTGACTGGTGTGCTTACCCTTGCTTTCTTTATTCATAATTGTATTATCACTCTCTTAAAGAACAACAAGAACCAAGAAAACAATGTGAGTAATTATCTGAGGAATTTATTTTTGTTACTGGATATTAATTTTTAAATTTAAATTGTAGAGCAGTGGTCAGCAAACTTTTTTTGTAACGATTCAGATGGTAAATATTTTAGGCCTTATGTACCATGTGGTCTTTGTTACATCTACCCAACTCTTCTGTTGTGGCATAAAGTAGCCATAGACAATATGTAAACAAATGGTGGTGGCTGTGTTTTAAGTAAACTTTATTTACCAAAATAAACAGTTGGCCAGATTTTACTCATGAGCCACAGTTTACCAACTCTGCTATAGAGCAATCACTGAAAAAGTAAAGAGGTATGGCTAATAGCCAATACTGGTAATAAAATATTTTAAAATACCCAAGTGAGCTAAAAGACAGGAAAAAGAAAACAAAGAATAGATGGGACAAATAGAAAACTAATAGCAGCATAATAGATTTAAACTCAATAATATTGATAACTCATTAAATAAAAGCCTATACTGTAAAAGATAGAGATTGTCAAACTGATTTAAAAAACAAAACCTAACTATATACTGTATAAAAGAAACTTACTTTAAATACAAAGATATACCTTAAAGATACTAAACATGAGAAGGGTAGAGTGGCTGTTTTAATATCAAGGTAGACTTCAGAATGAAGAGTATTGCCAAAATAAAGAGGAACATTACATAATGATCTTTAGTGATCAATTTATCAAGAAGACGTAATCTAAAAATGTGTTCACCTAGTAACAGAACTTCCAAAAAAAATGAAGCAGCAGCTGTCAAAACTGAAAGGAGAAGTAAATAAACTCACAATTATAACTGGAGATTTCATGACCCCTCCCTTAATAATGGATAGAACAAATAAAAAACAAGTAAGGATATAGAAAACATGAAAAGCACTACCAATGTATTTGATCTAACTGACATTTATAAAAGTCTTTTCTCAAACAACAGCAGAATTCACATTCTTTTCAAATGCATGTAAAACAGTTACCAAGATAGACCATATGTGAGGTCATTGAACAAGTCTCAAATTTAAAAGGATTGAAATCATACCAAGTATTTCTTTGACCATAGCAAACTCAGAAATCAATAACTATTTTTTTTTTTAGCTGAGCCATCCTGCCACCTGTTGGCAGCTCAGTGGCAGCTCAGCTTGGGCCAGGAATTGAACTGCTGTTGCTCAGAGCTCATACTCTTGAGCAAGCTCTTAACCAACTGAGCCACCTGGCTGGCCCAGAAATCAATAACTTTTTAGGGAAAAAAAAATTGGGGAAATTGACGAATATGTGGAAATTAAACAACTTACTCCTAAATAACCAATAGGTCGAAGAAGTAATTGCAAGAAAAAGCAGAAAATGCTTTGAGATTACTGAGAATGAAGACACAACATAGCAAAACTTATAGGATGCAGCTAAAGCAGTGCTTAGAGGCAAATTTATAGCTGTAAACACACCTACATTAAAAAAGAAAAAAGATGTTAAATCAGTAACCTAACCTTCTACCTTAAGACACTGGAAAAAGAAGAACAAACTAAATCCAAAGCAAGAAGGTAACCAGTTACTTATGGTCTTGTCTGCAGATTTTGAACTCAATTTGGTAGCTTCTAACCATGTAGCCAAAAATCCTGATGAAGGACTAATAGAGATCTATATAATTGTTACTGAAATACAAAGGAAAGACGAGTTCACTGTGCCTGGGGAGTCTGAGAAGGCTTCAAGTAATGTTTGGCAGAGTCATTAAGAAGGCAAAATCTTTCTAAGTGGAAGGAAGTTAGCTCTCAAATTAGGGCAAGAATATAGATCAGGCTGTTCTATTTTCATCTTTTCTGTTACCTGGTAACATACATATGGAATTTTATCTGTGAATGCAGTTGGAATTGAGTAGTTCTGGATTTTCCAAATTTCCTAACTTGGTGACCTTCAAATTTTATTGTCTTCCTATGAAATAATAGTACTACTTGATACTGACCCCTCAGGGTTTTAGTCATAATTAAATATTATAAAGTAGGAAAAGTGTTAACATGATCTCGTGTACAATAGGGGTTGGACTTTCTTAGTTTATTTACCCCTTTTACCCTGTCTCTCCTGACATTTACAGACAATGGATTTTTCTGTTAAAAGGAGGGAATATCTTCCCCTTCAGATTCTTTCTAGTGCCTTTAAACTTGTTTGCAATGAGAGCACATTAATTCTTCTTCAGGATTTCTTCCTATGATGTTAATAAGTTAGATTCCCAGGAAAGTACATAACTGAACCACATCAATTCTTCCTTTCTCTATTCTCTCATCACTGCACTAGGTTTTAATGTTAAAACTGGCTTTTCACCAAGGTTCCATGGTAATATAAGAAAGCCATGTGTAGAAAGTTGTTTCATATGTATTGGGATATTCTTTGTAAAAGTGCTCACCGTCCTGTTAAAGAGAAATTTTCTGTGTTCAAGTCTAGAAAAAATTTCTCCTAATGAATTCATTCTTATTTGACAGTAAGGGTCATATAACTCTCCTTGTTTCTGTTTTTGCCATGATGTTTGGAAAACTTAAGGATTAAGTTCTCTTATTATTTGCTATACCTTTTCTTAGGCAAAAAATATTTTTAGAGTTTTTTATCTTCCTTCCTGCTTTAGATTTGGTTTCTATCTTGGAAATATGTAGTCTTATTATACTTATACTTTTGTGGTAAACAATTTTAAATCTTTTGAGAAAATAGGAAGAAAAATCTTACTTATCCTAAGTAAACATTTGGAACTTTGAGATATAAAGGGAAAATTGAGGATATACTTAATGCCCTTTACTTTTAAATCCTTCCCTCCTCCTTCACAAATGTTCTGTCTCATTGCCACTTGAACTAAGCTTCCCACCCTAAGTTTTGGGAAGTTTAGAGAGATATATGGAAAATATCTATTTCATCTTCACAGGAACAGTGTATGTCATTAGTAATGTATACCTTGGTGCCAAATAAGTAACCTGTCTATCCTCAGCAACTGTTCTCTTATGCAAACTTATACCAAATACCCCAGAAACCCATTTTGTGAAGTAGTATTCTCATGCAGTGGATCATTCTATCCATGAGGCTGTGCTTCTCAAACTTTACCACCAAAGTCTCTCTGATGACAGAGAACACCTTGTATACCTGGGAACCTGGGAGTGAAGAACACATTTTAATGGAATCTCATGTTTGATCTTAAACACTCATGTATATTTTTATTGTGCTCATAATTAGTTTGTCTTACTGGAAAACAGTCTTAAAATGATGACTTAAATTACGGGCAGTCCTTACTTTGCATAGTTCCTATATGCATGAATTTCAGTTACTATGGTTTAGTTCAATTACATCAGTGCCCCCTAACAACATGGTTCAAATTACCACAGGATTTGAACTATGAGTATTTGAATTAAGTAGTAGCTACTAGCCCCTCAGCTCACAATCCACTACATAAATAACAGATGCACGTCATGATTACCAGTCACATCACTTCTTTCTAAGTCTGTCTGTGATTGGTCACTGTGCATCTGTTATTCACTGTACACATAGACTGCAAAGCAACAGTTGAGTTGCTTCCTTGTCTCCTTGTGGTAAACCCATGTGACATTTTATAAAAATGGAGAATCAAAAGAGGGAATTGGCAAACAAAGGTGAAAGTAAAACAATGAAATAAACAGTGATAACACCGAAAATGAAATTTGAATCAAACATACATGGAGTCGTAAAACAAATACCTGATTGTGGAAATGTTGACGCTGCTGCTATTCAAGAGACGCTAGATATGCAGCCAGAGGAACTTAGGGAAGGTGAAATTATCAACATGAATGAGGAAGGTGGTTGTGATGAAAAAAATGAAGCTGTCCCAGAGGAAGTGACACTGAAATTTCCCGTTGAAGTTAAAACTGAAAGAATTCTCAGAGCTACCTCACACCGTGGAAAGCACAATGGATGCAATGTTGGAAGCTGATGCAAACTTAGAAGGAATGAATATGACATTCAGCAAGGCATGGAAAAAGTGCTGGCTCTGTATTATAATTATATCATGAGTGGGGAGAAGCACAGTTCAAACTACTCTTGGGAAGTTTTTACAAAGAAATAAAACACTTAAAAAAATAAATAAATAAAACACTTTAATTCTCCATGTTTCTGATGTTTTATTGGGTTGTCGGAGAAGTCATGACGCATTTTTGCAACAAAAAACAGAAAAAATACGTCATGACTTTTCCGACAACCCAATATATTAGTATACTAAATAAATGTTAGGTTTACTTTTTTTTTTTCATTTCCTTATACACTTACTTGTAACTGACAATGAGAGAGTTTTTAATGTTTTCATAAATATTGGTAAAGGTCATGGAACAATCATACTTTTTCCCATTGATTATTATGATCATGTTGCACAGTCATTCTTAAAAATAATTGATAGTTTGTTTATTAAAATAGTCTACAAAAGCATCTGCAATAGTGACTTCAACCGCTTAATACAGATGGAAGTAATCTGCTTAATCTCTGAAGGACTGTGCAAGTGAATGAGTCGCTGTGGATTTTCATCTGGAACCAACTTTGGAAAATCTTAGAGCCTTAGACCCCTCACCACTATGAGTTTGTCTCACCATGACTTTTCAGAGTCTTGGCAGGCATCCACACTGGTCCTTTCACTTTGGGTGACAAGTTGAGATTCATTTCCTTTGTGTCTCTGATCAAGTCAGCATGCACCTTCTCCACAGATTTTACATTGTGGCTGTTTAGGGTAATTCTCATTCAGTGAATGGCTACCTCTGGTTTCATAGGTGTCTTTCTGGAATCTGTAAGCCATGGCCTTGGCACAGCTTCCTGTCTGACTTGTTCCTGGGTGAGAGCCAACAGCCCTGTGGCAGGAGCAGGGGTGGGAGAACCCGAGCTCCTTCACACCTGCGGCCGTATCTTCCTCAAAGAGGTGCCCAAGCATTTTTACAGTCTCATACCGCCATGCAAAGAGAAGACTGCCTGTGCCTAAGTTTCTGCTCCCTAAAATTCTTAAACAGAAATGTTTTTCTGGCTGGCGGAGGGAATCAATCTGGCTCACCCATTGAATCAGAAACTATGCAGTGCCTTTTTTGTTTCGTGTTGCCTGTCTTTATTTAGTTTTATACCCTGCTTAGTTCTTTAAAAGGCGATTCGAGATGCTTTATATCTTCATTTGTTATTAATTTTTTGCTTTATGTGAATCTGTGTAGTTTACTTAACTATATACATCAGCAGAAGTTTTATGTAAATGTTTGGGGTAGGTCTATGTGGTCATTTTCGGTCATTTTTGTTAGTAAATGCTCCACTGGATAATATTTTTGCTATGAATGGCATGTGGGACAAATTATAAACCATATTGAGAAATAGAATATGCTCCCAGACCCACTTGTTCCCCATTGTAAAACCAGTCCTTGTTCTGAGTTGGCATTCTTCCTGTCATTAGTTCTGTTTTATACTCAGCCCTGGTAGCCATTGCTTATACATGAGGCAGAGCAGGTTACCTTATAATTATAAATGTATAGTAGTCTTGACACATTACCAGTTCATATTGTCACTTGTGCCTCTTTTTTAATCTTTTTTTTTTTTTTTTTACTTTGAGCCTCACTTCCTGAAAGATAGCTTTTTCTACCATTTTCCATTAAATGGGCTTTTAAGAAGCTGTATGTCCTGGTCTAGTACAGTGATGGCTTGTGTTCAAGCCAGAGAATAGCAAAACCCACATGTGTGCATGCTATTCATAGGTGGCATGTTTCCCAGGATCGTGCTAAACCTCAGCTGTTTTTATATTAAAACAGCATTTCTGTTCATTAGAGCATTTTCAGATGAAAACAGATATGCAACTTTTGCCCTAGTTCTACTCAATGTACATTTGGACTACTGTGAAATAGGACTTTTTTGATTTTAGTATTACTCTTGCATCTATATGCGTGCTTTATTGTGTCTTGTTATTCATAACTTGTTACCTCTCTTTTATTGTTTTCTTGATTGTTATTTATTAACTGTGACACAGATGAGTTAGAGACATCAGTTCTCCATCGTAGTAGCTAAAGGCATGCAATTTGAAGCCAGAAGGACTTTGGTTTGAATGTTAACTTCACCAGCTACTCACTTTGTAACCACAAACAAGTTTTATAAGCTTGCTTTATAATGTACTCATCTACAAAATGGAGAAAATGATTTACCTACGGTTAAATGAGATAATTCATGTAATGTGCTCAGCACAGAGCCTAGTACCTAGAAGCACTTAATAATTATGGCCAACATAGTTATTATTTTTTTATCTGCGTTTACTGAGCTCCTACTATGTGCCAGGTGTTGTTCTGAGTATGGGGATGTAAAGATGAAAAAGACACAGCCCCTGTCTTCAGGGATCACGTAGGCTAGTGGTATAGACCAATTTAAATACAGAATAATTAAAATGCCAACATGATATGAGAACTATTAACCTTGGCTACTTTGTCAGTGTCAAGGGACATTTTCTTTCCACTTGAGAGCCTTCACATTATGAACATGGATTACTTTTATAGTAAAAATTAAAGACGATTGTCATTATGCTCTGTTTGAGATATGCATACAATGCTATGAGAATGGGGAAACTGTCTTATTGAGAAGCCCTTGCATCTCAGCCTGTTCACCTTCATCAGATTTTCCCCATTTTTGCAGGTAGACTGACCAAAATAATGTGGTGATCAGGTGATGTATAGGCTAAAGACTGTCCATTAGATGGCAGCTGTTCCTCTTTGTCTGTAGCTCTCTCTGACAGCTTTTTTGGCTCCCAAGATTTTACATTTTACAGGACTACCTTGTTCTTGAGTGGCATTGAGTAGTTTGAGGGGAGAATGACTTTGAAACATCATAATCGGAGACTACTACTTTTTGATACGAAAATGAGAGTTACCTGGTTCATTTCTGTCTATCCTACCCCAGACAATGAGGCAACCTTCAGGGTGACTGAAGTCTAGTCTGAGGTGGGCTCTAGAGCTTCATGAACTAAAAGGGAAAAGTTTGAAAACCGTCCCCCCTGGAGTGTGGTCAGCCTCTCCTTCCTCAACCCTAAGTAATTATTGTAGAAGCTCCTTGAAAAGGCTGGAACCAATATGCATCATCCAGGTTCCCATAGCTCCACAGGCCTATCCATCGAATTAAAGGTAGGGAATCCCTGGTTTGTTTTCAAGCTGATTGTCAACTTAGACCTGATTTTAGGATATCACATAGCTTGTTGCTTGCTTTTTAGGTGACTTTATCAACACTCGAGTTTATAACTCTTCAGCTATCACGTTAGCCCATTTAAGGAGGAAAATTGTCCAAACAATCAGAAATGTTCCCTAATACCAAATGTCTAGTTTTCTTATTGTGTTATTAAACTAAAGTAAAATTGTATATAATTTTTTTTTCTTATCTGTTTTCTTAGCTTTCAAAGTAGTTTGTGTTTAAAATGAAAAATGAATAGGCTTATTGCTATAATTTAGTTGTGCTGAATTGTTTGGCCATAACTTTAGTGGTGATGGAGACCAGATTTGTGAGCTGTGGGATCTGTTCTGTTTGGATCTGACAGCTGGCTGCATTAAATATCTTGAAGCTTTTGACTTTGCATGGGACTGGGAGGCTGGGAGGGTGGGAACAGCAGTGGAAGAAAGCAATCCACTTTATTTAATGTTCTGCATTTGTTTACTGATTCCAGTAAGAACATTGTGCAGCTGTTTGAACAGCTGCCTTTTAATTTCCTTTTGTTTACTGTTTAGGTTTATTAAGCTTGTCTTTAATACCTGCTTACTGTCTGCTTTTTAACTAGCTTTCCTTCTTATTTAATATATTTTATTATGTACTGGTCTCTTTTGGTCTAGGCATGCTTTGATGATTTAAGTTAATTTACTAAAAGAAAGAAAATTTTAATTCTGTAGGTCATACGAAAAGTGGCTTATTCTTGCTTTCTTGTTGTCCCTTAGCTTTATTATTTTAGTTAAATATTTTATAATTTGGTAAATAAATTACTTTTTGAAATTAAGTCAGCATTTCAATCATATTAAGTCACTGTTTATGTTAACTTCCTAAGTTTGCCAATAGGTAGCTTAGTCTATATACTCCAGAATAATGAAAAAGTTGTCAGACTAATTGTAAAGTGAATTTTGTTTTAACTACTTTGTGTGAACAAATGGGATACCTAGAAGGTACGTGTACACACACACACACACACACACACACACACACACACACACACACACAGAACAGAAAGATAAATCTTGTTTTTATTTGTTAGTCTTCTTACTTTGCCTATTCAAGTAGACTTACTGCAAATTTATTCAGTATTGTGAGGATTTTATTCTCTATTTACAGGTAAGGGACTTGTCCATTGCTTATATGTTGGTGACATTAACTTACCTCTATATTGGAGTCCTGGTTTTTGCTTCATTTCCTTCACCACCATTATCAAAAGACTGTATAGAACAGGTAAGACACTGTGTACCTTCTCTGTGTGACTTTTTACGTTTGTATTGGCAAAGCAGGCAGGGTAATACTGTAGCAAAATACTGTGACAGGACTGAGTTTGAATACAATCTCTACTTTTTATACTACATGTGGGAAGTTAGGCACCTTCCCCATCCTTTCTGGACTGCAGTTTCCTCTTTCATTAAATAATATATGCTTTTACCATAGATTTTTAGATGGACTCTCTGAGAAAACCTACCTTATGCTGTCATCTTGTGATACTCAAATAAGTGATTCCTATTACATGCATAATATTTCTCTTTGTATGGAAAAATGTTACCAGTAATAGTCATGAATTTATAAAGCCTCCACAGACAATACTGTCAACTCCCTTATTTTTCAAAGCCCAGATCTAGAAATGTCCGGATAAACTAATGCCTCAGTTCAACAGTTCCTAATAATAGATCTGACATTTCATTTTGGTACTACATGGCAGGTAGCAAAACAAAGATAGATTATTTGGCTGTTAAAAATATAGAGGGACGGGGTGGCCAGTTAGCTCAGTTGGTTAGAGAACAGTGCTCGTAACACCAAGATTGCTGGTTCAGTCCCCACAGGGGCCACTGAGTTGCGCCCTCCACAACTAGATTAAAACAGCTACTTGACTTGGAGCTGATGGGTCCTGGAAAAACACACTGTTCCCCACTAAAATTTATTAAAAAAAAAAATATGGAGATACTGAGAGAAAGAATAAAAGAAACATTTTATTTTTATTTTCACTAAAAGGTTGCCATAAATAATATTTTCTTTGATTTGACCCATCATAAGCAGGAATAGTATAGTCCGTAGTTTAATATGACTGCAGAATTTCTCACACACAAAAAAAGCATTTCACATGTAACTTTATTTCTGATCAGAAAGAAATTTCTCTAATAGAGTATAATAGAATATACAATGTGATTTAATACAGGTGAATTATAAAGGTTTTTCCAGTATAATAGTGTTAATAATGTTCCATCTCTGTAAGAGAAATAGGTTTGAGTTACTGCTGTTATGAAAGCTTGAAATGTTCTTCTACTGATTTCCTTGTTTCCAGAACTTCTTTGGCAACTACATGTTTGCTGAAAATTCCCCAGATGTGAATAATCCCATATAAAGTCCCTCCCTTAGGAATAGGAATATCTGTGGTATTTGTATTTGAAAGGGGAAAAAAACTGAGTGATTAACTATGTTTTTAGATGCCAAACTAAAATGGAGAAAAGATTCATGAAAGGAAATAGAAATAAATCCTTTTCTATTTACTGATAGACTGTAAATAATAATGATACTAAATGATAGGTATACTCTCACTTTGTTTTGTAATCTTGACTTTGAAAGTGCTACAGTGCTTCAGCGGAGCGAAAGCAAGAGAGCTTGTGAGGATGAAACAGCATTCAATTAAATTAACCACTTAAATATATTCAAACAAATTTATGTTTAAACCTTATAGAGCAGTGCTTCTCAAACTATCTGTAGTGAAGTACAAGATTTTCTCTGTCATTGTTTTGATGTCAAATCAGTTGCAGACTGATACTTTTGTAAAACAGAATAAAAATGTGGCAATGTCAAATTTCTATAAAAGTTTCAAAGCACTTACTTTCAATTTCTGTATAGCTCACTGAAGAATAATAGTTAACAGTTCATGGACAGTCACCAGTCCACAAATCACAATTTTGAGTGGCACCTATGTTCAAAATAAGCAAAAGACATTCCATTTTATAAAGTTGTATATATTGAATTTGATTTTTAACATTACTTCATTATCTTTCTTGGATTAGAATTTTTTAGACAACTTTCCAAGCAGTGACATCCTGTCCTTCATTGCAAGGATATTCCTGCTGTTCCAGATGATGACTGTATACCCACTCCTAGGCTACTTGGCTCGTGTCCAGCTATTGGGCCATGTCTTCGGTGACATTTATCCTAGGTAAGAGCTCTTCTCTTGGCCAGCAAGATGTGCCAAGCAACAAATGACTGTGCAAACAGGTCAGTTTAAAATATGACTGATCCTTTTGCTATAAAAGTTTGCCGAATGAAAATGGTTACTAAGGATAGATCATTGGTGTTGTTTTCCCTGAAGAGCTTTAAAAATAGAAGACACTCCCTTGTCCAGAATGATTTAAAGTCAATTCCTTTCAGTGTAGTTATATTAAGTCTGGTACCAGTCATATATATCTTATGATTTAGTTGCTATTAACCTACACATTGCCAGAAAGGTAATAGTATACAGAACCTGCATTAGCAGTGTATGGCTAATGAGAAGCAACTTTTATTTTAATTATTAGTTGCTGATATTTGCCTGTATATTAACATCCATGCATTTTTTTTCATGATAGTTACTTATAATTGAAGGTGAGATACATAACAAGTTTAAATTCTCATTGGCCTGTGCTGTGGTAACTTCTTATCTCTTATTGGTGATAGAGGAATTGTGAGTGCAAACTAGTCACCCTCATCCAGGAGAAATAAAAAGTACCTAGTCCTAACCTGTTTTATTGGGAACAAATGATCTTAAACTTTTAAAAGCAAACATCAAGAGTTACCAGGTCTCTAGCATTGACCAAAGCAGCAGCTACAGTTCCAACGTTGCTCATCTAGAAGACTGCATTTCAGTAAATATAAGATGCCTGTTGTGTTTATACCCTGTGCAGTATTTACATTCACTGAAATATATGAATACAGTGAAGTCATAGATGAAAAACTTCTAGGTAAATGTGTTATTCCTGTTTTCTGCCATTACTTTGCATAATGTTGGCTATTAGAATGTTTTTTTTCTTCTTGGAAAAAGTCTGGAATTTCCCTTGTGTTCATATTACATTTCTTCCCCTACCACTAAGAACACACATCATTTATCTCACAGTTACAAGTACTCCACATACCGCATACTTTGAAGCATACTTTTTGGTCTCGGGACCCCTTTACACTCTTAAAGTTTTTTGAGGACCCCCAGGAACTTTAGTTTATATGGGTTATATCTATTAATATTTAACATGTGAAAAATTAAAACCAAGAATTTTAAAAGTATTTATTAACTTATTTAAAAAGCAGTAATAAAATCATTACTTATTAACATAAATAACATGTTAATGAAAAAAAATTCTTTCCAAAATAGCTTTTGTTTTATATTTTTAAAACTGTTTAATGCCTGATTTCCTAGTAGATAATTGGATTCTCCTATCTTCTTTTACATTCATACTGTTGTAATATGTTATTTTCATTTAAATATATGAAAAAAATACACCCTCACATAGACACATAGTTAGAAAAAGAAGGAGTACTTTTAATAACCTTTTCAGATATTATGGATGTCCTTCTTTGATACTATGCTGAGCCTTGACAAGTGGTGGTTTCTTAAAAATTAATTGAATCTGAAACTCAGTTACATTAAAACCCATTACTCCATCTTTCACTTTGGGTTTTTTACCCATGCATGATTTTGCAACATCATGTTTGGTTTTTTTGGAATATATTGGTTCACGGAGTTCCGCAGATCTTCCAAATATTGACACACTTCATTATACGGTTTCAAAACACACATTTGTTAATATCACCACCAGTTTCATTATAAAAGTCTCTAAATATTAGAAAACTGTCAAGCTCAGGGTGGCAAATACAAGTTCTCCAAAATTCTAATTTTTGCTTGAAAGCTCAGATTTTATCATTGGCAACATATACTACCAGTTGTTTTCCTTGAAATGACAAGTTCGTATCATTCATTTTCAAGAAAATGTCAACTACCCAAGTCTGAGGGGCCATAGTTTATCTGCCTTTCAAGAAAAATAGCATTCTTTGGTGGAAAGGGCTAGGCTGCCCTCCAGCTCAGTTTCAAGTACTTTTCCTCAAGACAACCGTTGTATTTCAGTATGCCATAGATGTGCTTTATTATGTACTTACTATTAGAGCACACAGAATATTAAAAAGATGTGTATTCCAAGCATGAGACTTAATACAACTAATAATTTTTACTCCTTTATCAAGGACAATTTTTAATATAACTTTTTTTGAGGGGTGCTTGACACTAAAGAATGCAGCTTGTAGAACACAGACAGGTGCTACTGCCCCTGTCAAGCTAAGGGCCAGCAGTTTTGTCCACCATTGCTTTTGCAAACCAAGCAATGTTTGTATGATTACCAAAATAATTTTTACCTCAGGGACTTCCTGAAAAGGTATTGGGAACTTCTCTGGGGTTCGCGGTTACACTTTGAGAACCACTACTTTGGAAAATACACAAAGTTGTTTCCTTTTACGAAAACAGAAATAACAAAGGCCTAGCCACTGTTTCAGAGCTTTGAAGCAATGTTAAGGTTGAAGTTTCTGGATAAATAGTAAGATCTGGAAGCCCGAATATCTTTGTAATTCATCAGGGTGTATGACTAACCACTTATTTGTGTAAATTATTTTTTCTTATTTTTAATTTTCTTTGTGATCCTTATCTGCGATTAATTAACCTCTAATAACTTGGGCTCAAAAGTTTTTTTCATGGGTCAATTTGGCTTTTAAGAATCATGCTTTTGGGAAATGGAGTTATTTCGTGTGGATCAGATTTCATCTACATGATTTTTATTTGTGTCCAAATTGATTTCTAGACCTTGAATTGTTAACATCTAGTTCAAGTATTTAGTAAATATTCTATTAATGGTGAATACTGAATAGCTTCAAATGGCTGAATTGGAAAAATTAAAAGCTGCCCATTTTACCTTTTCCTTAATATAAGTTATTTTTCTAATTATAAAAGTAAACTAAATACTTTTTAAAAAATATTGTAAAATATAAGAAATTTGTTGGGGGCCATCTGAGTGGCTCAGTTGGTTAAGAGTGCGAGCTCTGAGCAACAGGGTTGCCAGTTCGATTCCCACATGGGCCAGTGAGCTGCACCTGAGCTGAGCTGCCCGCTGAGCTGCCAACAGGTGGCAGGATGGCTCAGCTGGTGAGAACATGTGTTCCTAACACAAGGTTGTCAGTTTGACTCCCGCATGGAATGGTGGGTTACACCCACCGGCAACTAAGACTGAACACAGCACCTTGAGCTGAGCGGCTGCGAGTGGGTGGCCAGATGGTGACTGGACTTGGAGCTGAGCTAGCTGTGCTCTCCACAACTAAGACTGAAGGACAACAACTTGGCTGTTGCCCTTCTCCAATTCCCCAATAAAATCTTTTTTAAAAAAAGAAAAAGAAATTTGTTAAATATAGAAAAGAGGAAAAGTTATCCAAAATCACAAGTCCTAACACAATCACTACTGCCGTTCTATTGTACTTCCTTCTGATATTTTTTTGAAATGTTTTCAGATTTTCTTGTGGAGTAAAAGTCTAATTAGCTTTTTTCCAAATTACCTAAGTGGATTTTTACCGTGTAGGTAACAATCATAAGTATTTTTAATAATTTTTCATGTATTCCATCAAGTAAATTGTTACCTTGCTGTGTATCTAGGATACTTCTATTTTTCTGGAAATATCTTTATGATACTAGCTTTTTCATGATTTGATTATTTTCATAAGACATTCCATGTGGAATTATGGATCAAAGAGTGTAAACTCTGATACACATTACTAATTTACTCCTACAAAACTTAACTTATTTATGTAATTGTACAAAAGGGCAAGTGTCCCATCCCAGCATTGATTACTATTGTTGCCTTCTATTTTTGCTGTGATTTTATTGTCAAGTTTAAGACATTCTAAATTTAATGATGTTAATAATGAATTTTATTCTCATATTAATGGTTATAATTTGCCTGTTTTTATATTTTTTTCTTTCCTTCAAACTCTTCAACTTCTAGCATTTTCCATGTGCTGATTCTTAATCTAATTATTGTGGGAGCTGGAGTGATCATGGCCTGTATATACCCAAACATAGGCGGAATCATAAGGTACTATCTGTAAGGGAACTAAGCCCCTTCATCTAGTGCAGCGGTTCTCAACCTGTGGATCACGACCCCTTTGGGGGTTGAAGGACCCTTTCACAGGGGTCGCCTAAGACCATCGGAAAACAAAAAGATATTTACATTACGATTCATAACAGTAGCAAAATTACAGTTACAGAGTAGCAACGAAAATAATTTTATGGTTGGGGGTCACCACAACATGAGGCACTGTATTAAGGGGTCGCGGCATTAGGAAGGTTGAGAACCACTGATCTAGTGTCTTTATTTTTACGCTTTTCTTGTTATTGTTATTGTTTTAATTTAATTGTATGAAATTTCAGTATTTAAAACTGGTAATATTCACATGTAGTTCTCTGGTGTTGGTTAAGGTGCTCACTATCTTCTATTTCGGCTTATTTCTAATTCTAGATGCTCCATTATCCCTTAGCTTTAGGCACATATTCCTTTCTTTTTTTTTTTTTTCTCATCATTATCTACTGTATTCCTTTTTCCTTATCCAATATAAAAAGTAACTTTTAATATATGATATATTGGGATACCTGGGAGGTCTCTTGTATGTCAAGGCTATGTCCTAACTTTCTTAATCCATTTCTACTCAAAAACATATTATATTATAGTTCAGTGTCAATTGTAGTCAGAAAGTAAGAGGTTAGATAAGAGTTTAGATCCCAGGCGACTCTTTCCTTAATATCCAAAAACATTGTGATAGGTTGAGTAGATTGGGGATAAAGTTGTGCCTCAGATTCTCATGGAAGACTGGGGTTTAGAATAATCTGATTTCTCTTCTTAACCTATAGAAAGCAGGGCTGAGTCACTTTTTTTGAAGAAACTTACCTAAGAAAGTAGCAAGACATAAAAGGGGAGATTATCAGCCTGATGCTTATTGAATATAATAGATTTACAAGTTCCGATTAAACCGTTCCTCAAGAAAACTGAGGATAGGGAAAAGGAGGAGAAAGTACAAGTTCCTCTGTCAGCTCGTGTTTAGGTACTTTTTGTTATTATCTTTGATAATTATGCTGAATGCCAGGGAGGCGCTCATCTGTTCTTATTCTTAAGCAGATGCTAGCAGTCCTTTAAAAACTCAGAATGCATAATTAGTTTATAAAAGATCAAAGATAGAATCCTATCTCCAGATGTTTCTGAGGAAGTAACCACAATCAGAGACTCAGAGGAAATATGGAGATTTGAGAGATGAATAAAAATCTCTTTGTCAAGCAGATGTCATAAAGATGAACAGGAAGTAAAATGTTTTAAACTCAAATGCTTTATGTCAACAACAGATGAATCAAAAATAATTTTGTTATATCAGACTGCAGAGGGTTTCAATTGTACTGTATTTACCTTAATTGTAAATCAGAAAGAGCAAAATGCAAGATGCATATTAACCCAGAAAGCTTTTATTTTGCAGATATTCAGGAGCAGCATGCGGCCTGGCCTTTGTATTCATATATCCATCTCTCACCTATATAATTTCCCTACACCAGGAAGAGCGTCTGACATGGCCCAAGTTAATCTTTCATGTTTTCATCATCATTTTGGGCCTGGCTAATCTAATTGTTCAGTTTTTTATGTGAAATACTCAACAGTTTTCTCAAGATCTTTCATAGGATTTTGAACTTTGACACCAGTTCCACATAAATTCACTTGTAAATGCTGTTGTTGCCATAATTCTAAATGTTTCCTAAGATAATTTGAAAACAAGGGAAGTAATTTTGATTAGAGTGGAGAAAAGGACAATAAGAATGATCTTTGTGTCTGCCGTTTACATATTCACTCACCTCTTTATTCTCATTGTCTTTTCTGAGTAGAAATGTTTGCCCTTAGGAAAAACCATGCTGTATTTTGGTAGATATAAGGTGGGTTGGTTTATTTTAGCTGCAATAAAGGTTCTCAGGGTGTCACACAGCAGTGTATTGCCAAATCCTGTTTCTGTTTTATGTTTCAGTGTATTCACTTTAATTTTATTACTTGCTAGACCATTTTTTCAGTTTGACCAAACTTTTACTGTTTGGGACAGTAAACCAAATACCTCATTAAAAAAAAAAAAATCTCCATGACATCAGTGTTGACAGAGTGAATTTTTAACTATGTCGGAAGGAAGGAAGGAAGGAAGGAAGGAAGGAAGGAAGGAAGGAAGGAAGGAAGGAAGGAAGGAAGGGAGGGAGGAAGGAAGGAACCTACCTTGTCAGTACAGGCCCCATGGTCATGAAAATTACGTAAAATAAATGAACTAGGAGAGTTTGTTGCTGTCTGACTTCTCTTTTGTTTCTAATCCAGTACCAGTGACTTAGGTTGAAATTCTAGTTTCCTAACCAGATTTTGCCCAGGGAAAAGTATGACTGGGGTGGGGGAGGGGGGTCTTTTGCTTTTTGAATCCCTGAGCATGTCACAGGATGTCATGACAGGATCAGAGAGGAAGAATGTAGGAAGCATGGCGCAGAGGGATAGGTGAGGCCCTACAAGGGAGAAAGGAAGTAGAGAAGGGGCCAGGAAAAGTGAGGGGTGGGAGTGGTTTCTTTCTACAGGAAAGGATTAATTCTGTCTGAGGTATGACCTCTAGAAGGAGACCTACCATACCCCATCTTATGTCTGTAACTGGCAGGGTGGAGGTTAAATTTCCAAAAGAAAAGCTCCTTGGATCTGAGGAAAGGATCAGGGAATCTGATTTCTTGGAATTGGGAATCTGATTTCTTGGAATTAACAGCCTCCTCTTTTTCATTCAAACTAAAAGCTAAACCAGAATTGAAATGCATGTCTTCCATGTAACAGCCTCTGAAAATGTTAGATTTCTCTAATTTCAGGCTAACAATAAATAGCATATTGTGTTAATACACATCCCACATCCCAGAATAGTGTGTAGATTTGTGTTATTTCCTTCCTTTGAGAAAGATGGGTGAAACAGTTTTTTTTAACCTAGTAAGAGTTAAGAGCCCCAGATTCGAGGCCAGCCATAAATACTTTGAGCAAAGCTTTCAATCCAGTCCATAGATGTGTACCTGTATCGATGAACTGTATTTCCTAGAGCTCTTTTCTAAAACATCTCATAATGAAAATTCTCCAGCATACACAAAAGTAGAGAAAGTAACATGCTAAGCCCCCCACATATACCCATCCTGTAGATTTAGTAATTATTAGACTGCTGTATTTGCTTTATCTATCCCTTTTTTTTTCTTTTCCACTGAAACATTTAAAGCTGATCTCAGATGTTATGTCGTTTCATCTCTATAAACCTTAATATGCACTAAATAGCCTTTCAAACTTAGTTACATTTATTGATGGAGACAGTCTTGAACGTGTTTGTTAGCAGAAACTGCTGATAAAAGTTTGATTAATTAGAAAATTCTGCATTAGGTGTGTGGATCTTTGTGTCAACCTCTCTTAGGAGTATGATTCATGGAGAAAGTGTGTCTCTCTGTGCTTGGAAGTCCCTGCATCTTTATGACTTCAGACTCCTGCTCAGTTAGAAGAAACGTAGGAATCAAAAACTGGGTAACTCCTTGAGAGAGCCTCTAGGCTTAATCCCTGTTCATCCAGCTACTTGCCTTCTTGTCTTTAAAACCTTGAGAGACGGAGTTTTTATTGCCTCTTTTCAATATACTTGAATATTTTAATGTGGAAAAATGATTTGATGTATTTTTTCCCATTGAATGATCAAAGTAGATATGACAACAAATGCATTATTTACTGAAGTGAAAAGCGATGTGGGTATTTGCTTGTTGTTTTCTTTAAAAGACTTGATGATTCAGAACTTCCAAAATCCTCCTTTGGACTTCTGCTGAATGACTTTGCCTTCTTTCATTTCTTTTTCATGAAACCGACTTCTCTGGCCCATGTTTTAGCTTGGTCAGAAACACTGTGCGGGTGGGTGTGTCCCAGCTCACGCATTAGGATGATGAGATAGGAATTCATTCAGATCCCATTATAATGAATTTTAGACTTTCTCTATTGTGATCTCTCTGGATTTTCTATTTGAATTTCTTTCACTTTTTACTCTGATGTGCTTTTGAATTTAGCTTATTTAACACACAACTGAGGGCATTATAAAATTAAAAGTGGGTTTTTTAGAAAAGTCTTCCTTTGAAAGGCCCATGGATGAATAGGTGGTATGCTAATACTCAGTCAAAAAGGACAAAGACATGTCCTTTGACACTTGACACCTATAGATGATCATCCACACTCAGTGTCATCATCACACCCAAAAAATGTATTGGAGTAAAGAATAAATTTACTCACAAAAAAGGGCTGTATTAAAGGGAGCTATTCATTTTATTTACATTAAATATATTTTCCAAATACAATATATTGGGTTGTCAGAAAAGTCATGACGTATTTTTTCTGTGTTTTTCGTTGCAAAAATGCGTCATGGCTTTTCTGACAACCCAATAGCTACTATATGTAGCGGTAGGAGAGTTTTTTTGTTTCTACCCAGAATTCATTAGGAGAATTTTTTTATCTGTATTTTGACTTACTCATTTCCATCAATAATTCAGTAAACTATGTTTAGTGCTTTGGAGGAGGCAAAGATGTATTAAACATCATTCCTATCATGAAGGAACTTTTAATCTAGTAAAGAAATTATGTATGTAGTTAACTGTACTGCAGGGGACTAAGGGAGAGAAAGAAACAGATCCCTGCCAGTTGGGATCCTCAGGGAGGGCTGGTAAAGGAAGCCAGTGGAGTGGGGACACAGCGAGGACCATTTCCATGCTGCTAATAACTGTCCAAAATGTTAGATATTTGATACATTCACCATCCTATGGGATCTTGTAAAATGTAGTTGCTTTTATTTCAGCAACTTTCCTCTAAGTTTTATCAGAAGTGTTTAACTGCTTCTGATACTATTTATTCTCTGCATTTTTAACACTGCATTTACTCACTTCTGTGAATCACAGACAGCAAAGCACAATTGATTAGTAGAGGAAATAATTAGGAGCACCTTGGGCAGTACCAACAGGAAGAGTCTATAAAATTTTCTCTCCAAAGATTTATTGAAATAACAGTGTTCAAAATGTCAAATGTTTGAGCTCATTGATAAGAGCAGAGAATTTTGATGCTGCATGTTTTCTTTAAAAAAGCACTGACCAATTATTGCCTTTTAGAATCTGGTGGTGGTGGTGGTGGTGGTGGTTTATTTGCTCATCCCAATTCGAATGTCCAAAACAAAATCCGTATCTAGCCAACCCCTAAACAATAGAATATTACATCAGTTTGTGATCCAAAGTGAAATGTGCACAAGACGGCCTGGCCGGCCCCGGTTTCACAGTGGACTTGCCTGCCGACTTCACTTCAGATTATGTAAACATGTCTTGCAAAATAGCTCTGATGGGAACCTCATAACCTAAACAGTACTCTCTGAAATGTAATTTGTTGTGTTTTTTTTTAATATAAAAGAAGAAATTAAATCAAAATTATTTTGAAGAAAAACAACTCTGGGATTTTGTTTAATTGAATTTTGCCAGGAAATGCTACTGCTGAGTAGCGCTGACCCCTGGGCAAAAAGAAGCTGAACTTCATCTTTTGCAGGGTCAGACTCCTCAATCAAGTGACTTTGCATGTGTCGCATTAAGTCACTCAAGGGACCCCTGCATCCGTCACATCAGGCCTAGTGTTCTGATTCTGGAGAAAGGTATATGCTCTGTTAACCAAAACCTAAAATGACCATCCCTTTTTGACAATAAACTGTTGTGACCTCTCCCTCTAAGAACATTTCAGAATGAATGTGATACTTCTGATAAGCATAGCCCAGTTTCTGGCTGAGCTTGGTATCATAATCTTCCAGAGCCATTTAAGGCAATAAAGAGCTGTAATTTTCTGTCTTCCCTAAGTAAAGTACTTTTTTTTCCTCCCTCAATATCATTTCTCTATATTTCCCAACTCTTCTGCAAAGATAAAATAAGGCTGTCTTTTAAAAGTCCATTCTTCTTACTTATCTCAGGCCATAAACTGCAGGACTGTGGGAGAAGGGTTAAAAAGAGCACTTTCTCCAGACTGTCCCTCCTTTGGCCGTTTTTGGGGTTTTTTTTAAGATTTTTATTGGGGAATTGGGGGGATGGGAACAGCGCTGGGGAATTGGGGGAAGGGGAACAGACAAGTTGCTGTCGTTTTGTTCTTCAGTCTAGTTGTGGAGGACGTTGCTTCACTGGCCCAAGTTGGCACCATCATTGCGCTCTTCCCGGGCGAGGCAGATCAGTCGCCGGCTTCTGGACGGCCGCTCACTGCGGCTGCTGGCCGCTCACGCTGGCTGCTGGCTACACACGGTAGACCATGGCAACCCACTGCCACAGGGGCTGCAGCCTACGCAGTCGCCGGCGACTCACGGCAGCCCAGCTCCAGGTTGAGCTGTTGTTCAGCATCTTAGCTGTAGAGGGCAGTGTCACTGGCCCTCATATGTGGGATCCGAACCGGGGCCCTCTGGCGTCCCAAGCCAGTTCTTAACCATTGCGCCACTCGTCCTTTGGCCCTTTGTTAATCCCAAGTGATCCAGTCATGCTTGGTCATAGCCAGCACTCAATATACACTTGTTTAGTTAATCAATTAATTCATGAGGCAAGGTTCTACTTTAATGAGAAACAGCAAGTTAATTGCTGTTTTCTAAGATTTTGTTCCATATCTTGAAACAAAATTGTTCAGTCAGGTTCAAGATTAGTCCCTCAGTTAATATGCAAGTACTTACTGGACGCCAGAAGCTGTGCTAAGCACAGAGCATACAGTGGTGAACAAACTGGATGTGGCCCTGGCAGTTTAGCATCCTTTGCCCCCCTCCTGAGCACTGGTAGCTGGTCATTTTTACTAAGTGCCACTCAAGTGCCAGGCTTTTTTGACACTTTCCCACTGCCCTGTTTCTGTTGAATGCTTGATGAAGCCACATCATACACATTTTGAAGGGATGCCCATAGGATGGTGATGCAATAAATGCGACCTTGTAAAGTGAGCCATGTTTATTAAGGTAAACTTTTTTAATCGTAGGATATTCATATCTACATAAAATTAAGTAGGCATGTGGACAAACACTGAAAGGGGCCACAGAAGAATGAACATGGGTGACCTTGTTGAGGTGATGAGATTCTAGGCGAATCATTTATGTTGCTACTTTATTATTTGCATGACCAATTTTCTAGAATGCTGCCTAGGATAAATCATGGAAAAGAAGGCTTTCAGAAATAAATCTACACTCAACCCATGAAGTAAAGACCAACCTATAAAGAACCTTTGGGATAGGTGAGAGAGATCGTTGATTACGGGGGCAGATCCAGGTTTTGTGGGACCTAAAGTTCATGTAATTTTGTGTTCCCTTTTAAAGAAAAACATACAAAATTAGGAAGGCGCCCATACAAGCGAGGAGCCCTGACTAGCTTCTTGACCTTTAAGGTAAATCATCCACAAGGCAGGGGATTTAGAAGGCTGAAGGAAGTGTAAGGAAGAAAAATCTGGAGCACTCTGATATGCCAACTTTGAGTTTTTCTGCTATCTTTAAGAACTACAACTTTTACCAGATCTGAGCTTTTATTTCTGGAAGAGTCAAATTGGGTTTAGCAAAATAGCAAGGCGTACACGTTTAGTAAGGGTTAATTTGGGATCAAAATAGGAAATTTTTCTTTTTTAGATTAGAGTTTTTACTTGGGGATAGGTCCTGCAGGTTTTTTGTTTTCTTTTAATTTTTATAGAGCTAATAAAGAGTTCAAAGAATACTGTTTAATTGTCAAATAGCTATTTGATGAATCTTAGGTATGAGGAACTTTTTAGTGTCTCTTGATGCAGTAAACAAGCAACCAAGAGCAACATTAAAGTAAGGCAACTTTTATTTATTTATGCTCCAGAAAGGATCTGTTTCTACTATGCTAAAGTAAAGTCAATTTTGAAGGATTAACTTGTTTTTTTAGAGAATAAATTAGAAATTTATGACATTGAAGGAAACTAAAACCATTCAAATAATTACCCCTCGGTGCCATATTATAGTTCTTTATTGTATGTAGATAAAGCCTCATCCAGTGTAGTGAACTTTTACTTATTGTCTTAGATTTGAAAATGCAAATATAGAGTTATTCTTCCCCATGCTGCCAAGATTCTCTTTATTTAATATGGCATTGATTACCTCCCTCCTCTGTAAAATCCTTCAGTGTCCCAATAGAAAAATGGGCAAGGGCCTTGTGACAGACAGCTCGCAAGAGGAAAAACTGCAGATAAACAGGAAGAGAAAAAAAGTTCAGGGTTGAACTACTGAACCAAGCTAATGGATAACCTTAAAAACATTATGTAAGTTAAAGAAGTCAGACATGAAAGACTACATATGTATAGTTCCATTTATATGAAATGTCTAGAAAGGGCAAATTTATAAGAACAGAAAGCAAAACCAGTTGCCTAAGACTGGAGGTGGAAGCAGGGATTAACTGCAAATGGGTATAGGGAACTCCCTAGACCAGGGGTCATCAAACTGCAGCTCGCAAGCCGCTTGCGTCTCTTTGGGTACGTTCCGTCTCAAAAGTTTGCTGACCCCTGAAAGAGCCAATCCTGTCCCTCACAACAATTTAAAAATTATTTGAGAGCCATAAATATATTTTTACCTAATCGCCATTATGTGAATAATATCCTTTAAAAATTTTATAAATGAAACTATGATAGTTTTATTTTCATTTTCAATTTTAGAGTCTGCGGCTCACAAGCCACATTTTGCTGACCCCTGGCGGCTCTTCCATCTCAAAAGTTTGCTGACCCCTGCTCTAGAGTAATAGAAATGTTCTAAAAATGGACTGTGGTAATGGTTGCACAACTATATAATTACTAAAATCATTGAGTTTGTACACTTTCATTGGGTTTGTACACTTTCATTGGTTGAATTTTATGCTATGTAAATTATCCCTCAAAGCTGTTTTTAAAATATTCATCCTCACTAGCAGAAAAGGAAACATAATTTAAAATACTATCTACTTGTCAAATACTAAAACAATAATAATACCCTGGCAGAGGTGTGGAAAATGGGCATTCATACAAGTGGTAGGTATGAAAGCAGATACAGAGTTTCTTCAGGTAGTTTGGCAATTACATGGATGGCCCAACGCCTCAAGGTGAGCCTTTGACTCACTTCCAGAAGTGTATCCTAATGAAATAATTGGACAAGTGTGGACATACATACACACATGTTCATCGCTTTCTTATTTATAATGGAAAAATTAGAAACAACCTAAATGTCCAACAGTAGATACATTTGGAGTATTATGGAACACTGTGTATCTATTTTAAATGATGATGCAGATGTATATATGTAATGTCAAAAAGAGGTTTATAAGTATAAGTGAAGAGATTGTAATTAAATA